TCTTGTAAGATTCATTCTACGTGAAAAATGAAATTGTTTAGATCCTTACAACCTCTACACTTTCTTATGCTTATAAACAGTATGCAAATTGTACAACTTTCTTCGCTTGTCAAATCTAGGAAGGTAGTTGAGTTTTGGCAAACTCCGGCCCAAATTGAGTCCATATTTTATTAACAACCCTTGGTCAAGCGCTAGTTCTTGAGCCATATTGATATTAGCGTAATCTTGAAAAAGGTTAATTTCTAGCTTGGAACAGGTGGAAACGGCTTTTTGTCTTTAACTTTCTCTTTTCGCCAAGTTTTGATTTCTTGAAACCTAGAACAAAGCTATTCACGAGCAGTATGGCCTAGTAATTGGTGGATTCAATGGAACGGATTGTTTGGAAACTGTTGCACTTATTCAAGAGATTGGCCACGAGGTAATAATAGCATCAGCTTATAAATCATTAAAACTATAGTAAAAGAGAAGTGCAGTTATTGAAAGTTCTGCCTCTTAAAAAAATTTGTCTTATTTGTAGGAAGCTATGCTCACGCTAGGAAACTTTCTATCATTTTTCTTTGGCATTGCAAAAAGCATTTTGAAATCTGAATGAAAATATTAGGATGGTGCAAAAGTTTTGTCAGTTTTTTCAATCCATCAGCAAGCACGCTATAATGAAGATAAACAAACACTTCAAATTGTATCCGATGCAGAATTTTTTCCTCTTTCCAGCAGCTAAACTCACATTGTGTTTCGTTGCGAGAATGATGAGATATTTGCTGTAAATATTGCAACCATTCGTTTATATCATGTCCAACTTTCACTAATTTTCAAAAATTTTGTAGAGACTTTCGGAGGGGTTCTAATAACCACCAGATAGGGCAAACCTTTTGCCAACTTATGCAATTTTTTTCTTTTTTTAGCTGCTTTTCCAGATTTTCGTCAAATAATTTTCTAAAACTGTTGTGTATTGGAAAAATCGCATAATCTGTTATTGCACCAAACATTGCAAAACCTACAGATTACTGAGATTTCAACACTCGATTATTATTACCGCGACCATTACAAAGTAAATGAGCGATTTTCGTTTCAAATTAGAAAGATTTTGAAACATAGGATACGTCAGTGCGCACTCCTGAAATTGAGAAATACTTCGATTTTTTCCACAAATCTCGCCTGTCTCAGCGAAAAAAGACAAGTGTTAGAAGGAGGAGAAAAAGTTGCATCGAATGGTTGCTGAAATGTTTAACATTTTATGTTCTACGGGGTTAAAATAGGCTGAATGTAAAATTTGGTTACTTCAAAAAATAATCGTAGAAATTTTGAGAGATAAGCCGTAGGACTAAAAAATTGCACTAGTTGGCAAAAAGTTTGCCCTATCTACCGGTTATTAGGGCTCCTCCGAAAGTCTCATACAAAAATTTTGAAAATTAGCGAAAGTTGCGCATGGTAAAACGAATGATTGCAATTTCCAGCAAATATCTCGTCACTCTCGCGACGAAACACAATGGGAGTTTAGCAGCTGGAAAGAGGAAGAAATACTGCATCGGAAACATTTTGAAGTGTTTGTTTATATTCATTCTAGCGTGTTTGCCGATGGATTGAAGAAACTGACAAAACTTTTGCACCAACCTAATATAATAATTTGACAAAAAATCGTAGAGTAATGCAAAAATCTATGGAATAATTCTCCTCTTTTCTAAGAAAAGGAGAGAAAGGGATAAAGTAATGGTGTGGTGGAGTGGGAGTTCGAGGGTGTGGAGCCAGCAAGAATGCGTTATGGAATTGTAAAAGTGCAGTTATAGATTCAAACCTGAAGATTATCTGGAAGCTCCACAAATTTTTTTTGGGAAGGGAGGGGGTAAAAAGTTGTCGGATCGGCAGTGGCGGATTTACATGTCCTCTAGCTAGGGATAGTCGGTCGTGCCAACAAACTGCGGTAAAGGAATCTGTGCACTGAACATAAATTAGCCTTATGTAAACTTTATTGTAAGGGCGTAATGGGCCAACATATGCACATTACTACCCCATAGATATTGTAGTAGCCTTTGAACTCGTTTTGAAAAAATTCAAGATCTAGCTATTGTACATGCGACAGCAATCTACGCGTAGCGACAAGTGATGTATTCGATATTGCATATGCTAGAGTAAAGCAAGGGCAAACACGGGCAATTACCCAATTGGCTTTTTTTTGTCTGCGGCACCTAAAAAATCTATTATCAAAAAGTCGCTATACTTGCGCGCGCGAACGAGGACCAAAATAGTTAATTTCTATTTGTTCACATTGGTCGTAGAATAATCTCTGGAATATAGGCTACTCATGATGGCATCCAAATACATAAGTCTGCCTATCCTTTGTGGGTGCATTACTTTGCCAAAGTAGAGTTTCAGAGCTCTGCGAATTTGTTGGAATTCCTTCCGAATTATTTGCCTTTCACATATGATAATGTTCTCTTTAACACATTCACGACAATACGACCCACCGGTGGGTCGTACGTGTACTGCCATTTCGGACCTACGACCCACCTCTGGGTTCGTACTATTGAGCACTGCAGATTCACGATGGAAGTACATGAGATATCCGCACATGGTTAGAGACATCCAGGGTAAGCCTAATTAGATGACGATCTTTTGGACCATACGACTCCGTATGGTCGCATGTCCGAAACGGCAGAAACTGATGAAACGGCCTGTCGTGAATGTGTTAAAGACAAAAACTTTCTAATCCAGTAAACTTAGTTGTTTGAACATTTTTTAATGTGTCAGTGTGTGTTGTCAAATTGTTAAAATTGAAGAAAAAAGTTGTTTGAAAAAATGATATTTTTACAGCATCTGCAAATCGGAGAACTTTTAAAACAACCCAATACTTGGACCTCATGAAGTTCAGATATACTCGAAGAGATTGAGCGACCTTCCTTTTCGATTAAAAAATAGCGTAGCCGTATCTATCAGTAAAGACGTCGTTTTACTTTTTGGCGGATGAGATGAGAGTAGCACGATGAGAACCGTCTTTAGGTACGTAATTTTTGCATATTTATTAGGTTAGAAGTTTTGCAACTCATTCAATAACTATCGTCTCTTTCACAACATGGCGCACTCAAATTTTGCCATTATGCAAGCTTTGACGTAAGCTACAAGCGCAGTTGCTGTTTTGCCAACTCTGATGTCGCAGTGAAGGTTACGGTAGGTATACGGTAAAAGGGAAAATGCATAGGAATTGACAGATTTGGCTAAAACTTCGCGTAAGGGAGTTATCTGACGTGGTGGTCACGAAAACGACATTGAAGTTGCGTGAAAAGGGCTTTTTTGTAAGAATTTAAATTAGAATTCTGTAATTAATTCTGTAATTTTACGATATATGGTCACACCCGAAACAAGGAAAGAGACTTTGATTTGACAAATGAATATGATATTCGTGTTTGGCGGGCATAACTTTACTATGTGAAGTCTCGGCGAATGTTGAGGTTCTGATTCCCTAGTCATTGACGGTTGTCCTCAGCAGCCTTGCGTACAGCAAATTGTTCGCCTTGTGAGGGTGCCAAATCTCGACATACTATCAAATTTTTATACCTTTCTTGTTGAGCAGAATGAGTTAACCTCTAGCAACAATTCGCACTCTATGCCGGATCACATTTTCTAGGCTTCATTCTAGCTCATAACCCCAATAATTTTAAAAATTCATTAGTCTTCGAAAAATGCCTGGAGTTCTTCTAACTGATGTCCAAATTTTAAACAATTTGTATGCAGTAGTAGCATACATTACGCTCTACATAGTGCCAAAGTTTGAGCGCCACATCAAAAGCGTGAAGTTATGAAATAAGTTGCAAAACTTAGTTTACAGCTCAATAAATTTAAGGTCTAGACTGCAATTATAGGTTGCAAATAGACGACAAAGAACGCAATTCTTACCAAGTAGATATGGAAGCTTTATTGCCATATACTGTAGAGGGTCACTGCTGTGTCTTTCATCTTGGCTACATCTACATAATAGGTGGCTATGATAGTCTATTCGTAGTAAACACTATAGTTCGTTATTCAACTGCTACAAAAAATTCTGAGGTAATATTTCTGAATTTTATTCTCTGCTTCTGTGAACCAAATCGGCTTCTAGATCCTTCCAACTCGATTAGCTACAACTCGTGAGAACCATGTATGCGAGGTTGTGCTTGAGAGGTACATAGTCGTGATGGCAGGTTGGGATGGACGACAAGCTTTGGATTCAGTTGAAGTTTTTGAAATAATAGAGGAGCACTCATATCTTATACCAGTCATTGTCAAGTTCAAATTGTCTTAAAAGAGGAACCGACCAGCATCTATAGCCATGTAACACAACTGTACTGTGGCTTGATAATCTTTTTCTGTGAGATATTCATATTATCTTCTAGATCAGGTTTGTACACATTTTAATGAATGTTCGCAGGTTTCTTTTGAAGACTCGAGAAAAGAAATGCAGGTTTACCTTAAACTATTTTTTTTCCTGCTGTTTGTAAGGACTTCGAAAATTGAGCAGTAATATGAATATTCCAGAATCTGTGTAAAAACAGTTTCTTTGATCTATTGTTCCTTATTTCCTACCAGTTGCATTTCCTACTTCATTTGGAGCAGAGAAATTGCCTCCGAAAAACGGCTTTTTGCAGTGCTCTTGCATACCGTGTAAAAGACCAGTAGTCGTTGAAGGGAGCGTCTAATGGCGATACTTGTGTCTCTAACTCTTTGATTGTACTTGTTTGCTTGTTTTTGCAAGATGTCTTCTAGCGAAATTAGAATAGTTTGTGAGTGATCTCGCAAAACATTCCCCTCAAAAAAATCGTTTCCATCGTCTCGAATGTATTTCACTTCATCGTTTACATTTGGTTCAATATTCATTCCTCAACTCTCAAAGGACATCTTTGGAAATCTAACAATAAGCGAAGTATTTTCACACCCGTTATAAGACCGCTGAAGTATAACAAACATATGTGATTTGAAACTAGAGAAATTTTCAAATTAACACTAAAATTACTAGATTCTATTGATAAACTCTACCAAATCATCCAAAGAGGATGCTTCAATTTCTCGTAAGGCACTCCAGAGCTCAATTCAACTTGCGGCAACTCGGCGTATAGAGTAAGATTGAGCGGTTTTGGCTTCTTTTCTCTTTCGCGGATTTCCTGCAATGTACCCTTCAAACAGACTCAACAAATTCTCGCTTCTTCAACAAATCAAATGAACACTTACTTTCAAAACGCAAAAGAATGCTGCAGGTTGAAAGTCGAGGTACATCTTGTGAGCAATCAGATGAGGTTGCTTCAATATATTGGCCAGATCATCTACTCCGAAAACACACGAAGCGCTCATGAGTTCGCCTAGAACCAATGACAGCTGGCAAAAGTACACATGAAGGCAGCGTCTACTAAATTGAGGGTGGTGAGATTTTGATAGGGTACTTTTGCAGGGCTTTCAGTTAAATAGCTGTCCAAGTCCCGCAGCAAAAGGCGAAGTCATACTTAAGAAAATCGCTTCAGGAGGACAAAGCGGCGGCGGTCTTTCCGCCCAGCAACGTGGGTGGTTTGGATATACGGGTCCAGATTAAGCTTACATGTGCCTAAAATTTTCGGAACTTTGATAGTCGCAAGGAAATCAGTTTTTTGAAAAATGCGCTCAAAGCCATTTACGGGCTTTGATTCAAACATCCACATAGCTGGGCGGAGCAACTACCGCTAAATCCTCTTTCGGGGACGATTTTTTTTGCGTCTGATTTACGTTCTGCTAAAATTGAATAGTCACTTAGTTAGAGTCCCGCTGTTGCCTTATCAATTTTTCGCCACCCATCAATCTCGGTTGACGGTGTCTTTAATCGAACTATTTGCTCTTACCACCACAGTTGCTGTACCACACTTGGTGTCTAGCCAGATAATAATGCATGCTTGCATCACGCAACTTCGTTTCCATATAGTTATCAACTTCTGCCATGTGTTTTGCTCGATAGTCTTTTTCAAATTTTATCCACTTTTCAGCGCTTGTCCCGCCAGGGACCGGAAATACTTGAAAGTAAGAATGATTGCTCGGCGATTTGGAAAAAGTGATCGACCTACTCTCTTCGTTGCCGGTGAGCGTTGCCCAAAACGCCTCATCTGGGATGTACGTATCATTGAGAAAACGCAACAGTTGCCAACCTTTTTCTGCCTTAAAGGATTAGAGTTGGAAAATGTGCATCAATGCTTGACAGCAATCTTGGCCCCACTTCATCACAAAGACTAAGATTAGAAGGTAAAAATGTTTTTGGGGTATGGCTGCGGCGACGCCTCTGGTTATAGCCCCGCAAAAATTTTGGGGACAAAGAAAAATTTGCCGGAGTGCCTGGCTAACGCCAACGTCCGCAAAAAATTTCGTTTCCCTCTTCCCTTCTCCCTGCCGAAGCGAAGGAAATTACTGGGACCGCCATTCATATCAAATCAAACCTCTTGTCGTGGCTAACGATGCACGCCAGGGTACGGAAGCTGGGATCGCCGGTTGTTTCGCGTTATCCGGTCGCGACTGCGGCAGCTTTGGCTTTGCATTACCGTAATCCTCGCCAGACCCCTCCTTGCTGACACTTCAAAATGGGTAGCGGGGGCGCCTCATTTACTCACCTGCTCACAATTGTCTTTGGTAGTTATTTTTGTCTACGATTTGAATCTTGCACTGACGTGCTTGAGCTCTCGCGTTGGATGTATTTTTTGTTTTGAACCATGCGGTCGAAGCATTTGCACAGGACATTGGGAAATTTAAGTGCTTAACGTGCTGGTGAACTATACTTATTGGGAGCGAAGAGGGTTGCAAAGTTTCATAAGGGCGTGAGCGAATGGATCTGTTGAGCGAGGACTCGAGATGTTCATAATTAGAGACAAGTCTGACAGGGCCATCGGTAGCATTGGGTGATGCAATCGCCACTTGTTTTTTTTATGTTTGGTAGTTTTAGATTATTAGATTAAAGTAGGTTTATGTGCTGTTAAGTTAAATTGTATTATCTGTTGTTTATTGGCTATTGTTTTTAATTTAGTCTGTTCCTTTTCTTTGTCATCGTCCACGCGCTGTCATATTTTTATGCAAAAAAAGGTAGTCAACGGCAGCGGCCGAAAAGAAGTAGCTAGCCTTAGCGGATGCGCAACATCATATAGGGAACAGCGGAGGTCTACGGTGTAGATTGTGGCGAGCACTTGCAGAAGGTGCCGAGCTCACCGAGCCACCACAGCCACCATCACTAGCTTTATGTAACAGGCATATGGCAAAACCATTCTTCAACATTCTAAATCTTGCAAAAGTAGCCTGTTTGACTTCTAAGTCTTTGTTGAGAATGAACCTATAGAAGTTTCTTTAGAAGCTTTGAGACTATAAAGATCATAAGACTGTGGCGCACTACAGATGAATATTGTCAACACTTGTAAGTTATCCTGCATTATTGACGTGAATATTGTAATCATCTGTTTAGTTATATAGAACCATTTGGACAGATCTTTTAATTAGTGATTGTTGTAACTTATAGTTAGTGACTTTATTCATCTCATCTACCTTTATCATTTTTTCAACGCCACAGTTTTCACGTAAGAGCAATACCAAATTCTTCAGAATTATTTGTAAGTAAGAGCGAAAAAGGGCATTACCTTTAATATCCTCGTTATGGCCTTTCGAGGAACGAGTGCACTCAGGGAAGATTTGAAAAGTGGTAGCGGAGAGTCTTCTATCTGTGAAAAAAATGAAACAAAACATGTTTTTTGAGCCCGGCGATGCGAGAACGCATGCCAGAGGTAGGTTTTAGCTTAACGATGAAATTATTATAGGAGGAGTTTTCATAGTAACCTGCAAAGTAATGAGGTTTCGCTTCTCTTCTTTACTTTTCATGCATCTGTTTCCGTCAAAATGATTATCTAAGATGTAAAGTATCTCGCAAAGGTTATTTGGTGACACTAAGTGTTTTGGTTGTTTTCTAGGTTTTAAATTGAGCAAAAACACAGCAGTTTGTGCTATTCTACTATAAAAGTTTTCTTCTCAGAATCCCATCTTTAAATCAACTTAAGCACTTTTGCTTAAGTTGCATTTTTTCCTGCTGGCCAAGGGTCGCTCGCATTGAGTTCGTTGCACAAACAAAAATCATTAAGCTGCTACCTTTTTTCCCTCGAGGCGATCCGTTTGAAATGTCGAGAACTCGCTGTTTACAGTATTATTCAACTGTTTGAGTATCCTTACCATTTCTAGGTTCGTCTTAAGCGGAACGTCTGCACCAGAAAGTTGCTAAACATTGGCAATCTTCAAAAGTTTGTGAGAAATTGCAGTGCAAATACCTGATAATACATCCAGTCTGTCTTGCTACGAGCCAGAACTCCGACGCAAACCCATGTAGAGTTGATTATCTCAAACGATCCCCATTCAATATGTGGTCGATGCTGTAATTTAGTTCCTTGTAGCGTTTTAGATACTTATCAAATATGTGAGTTTCTGGACTTGAATTCGTCGCAGTCTGAGAGCAGGAGCAAAAATCGATATAATTTTTTTTGCCGTAAGTAATAAAATGTTGCTTTTTGTTACTATCATAAGATTTTCGACACTCCTAAGCACGCGCCCCATTTCGGACTTTTACATATTTAGCCCCTGCTCGATGATGAGTGAGACTAGTGTATTCTACAATTTATATTGGATCTATAGCACTCAAGTAAAACACGTGCTAGCGAGTGTACCCCTACCACTAGACCATGCTGGCTTGCAAGTGACTACGTCAGTCAGTATGCCTTAAATTGATTGCTATGGTCGAAAATCTTTGTGATGCCCATAAAATAATGTGATGCCGACAAAATAATCTTTAGCCACTGCCGCAAAAGAGCTGTGTAATTTTACGTCTTTGACAAATGGAGTGGCAGTGGCATTAGGCTACTGTGAGTTATGTCCCCACTAAAGCACTAAAGTTTGCTCATCTCTTCTCAAATCACAAGCAAATCTAGACTTAGCAAGGTTTGCAGAGACATTTGGGCGTAGAAATACGTAAGGCGTCATTATTTCCCATAACCTTCAAAAATATGAGTCTACTATTCTGCAGCTCCCTGCGAAGAGAAGTTCTGATTGTTAGTAGTATGAATAGTTTTTTCAGATTTGGAAAGATAAGCACGTTTGATGAAAAAAATCAGTCATTTGGCCGTTTTCAAAAACGAAAGGTAGTACGTAAAAGATTCGTTGAGGGGTTTAAAAAAGCCCTATAACTTCGTCACAAGTAAGGACACAGGTTTTTCTCAGTTAGAGAAAAGAATTGAGGAGACTTTACTTTGGACGAATTTACACCCAGGGCACACGGGTAGGATGGATACCGTTTTGAAGTAAAAAACGTTGTTGTTTCTGCAAGTCACTGGAAAGTTGATGAAGAGGGGAACTGGATCAGCCGGGTCCTAATTGGATCGAGCCTAGTTTTTCGAAATTTAGTGCAAGCAAAGTAATGATGCTGGAATCGGTACCTCACCAACACGTGGACGTTGTCGAAACAACTGGCCACCTCATCCATTGCGATTTTGAACGATTTTTCGGCTGAGCCACTTACAGCAATACAGTATTCGTTATGAGGCCTATAGAAAGCGCTCAACATGAACATCACCTAAAATTGTTTATATTATATGGTGCTTGTATGAACCGAATGGGGAAAAATTTCCCGCGTCTTTCTACTATGGTATTAGCGCCCGCTTACCTGTATGAAATTTTTGTAAACAATTGCACCATAAGCAAGTGGATATTTCAATTCCTCTATCGAAACATCTGCTAGATCTACGCGAAATCCAAAAAGCTTTTTCAAGGCGTGGCACCTGATAAAAATTTTTTTCTGATATGATCGAAATGCAGTTCCTTGCGTTACAATTTTTGCCATTTTTGGAAGAAGAAGTTAGTGTATTTGCATCATAAAGAGAAAGCTCACTTGTTTTTAGCTTTGGATATTTCCAACTCAGCTTGTATGGAGTTGTACTTCCATCGTTTGGCCTTTTCAACAGAGAGTTTATCTCCTCGGATAATTCCCCTGCAGTCCACATCTGAAACTAATTTTCGCAGAGCCTGCAAGGGAAGGATACCATAAATTGGCGATTTATGACAAGATGATGTCACTAGACGCGCCCTTCCAGCTGATTCCTAATGTTCTTTTTTTTTGCGGAATAACTTCCCGAAAGAAGTTATGAGCGTTTGATTGTGCAAATTTGTCTAGTGTCTTAAGTGGCGCAAAATTAGCAGAAAAGCTCTAATACAACACTTACGCAGATTTTCGCTGCGCTTTTTCCTTTCTTGCAGTCTATATACTCAACACAAGTTGTTTAAACCTTTTAGCAATTTTTTTACACCTTTTCGTCAATTTTATGCCACTTGGAGCCAGTGTTCGGGCAAAAAGTCGATTTTGAGATTTTGCGCTTACTCAGGCGTATTATTTATGCTGAATCCTAAAATCCACACAGCGCGAAAACAAAAAGGGGCTCTAACACAAGAGAGCAGGTGAGCGGGATTTTCGCACTGTGGGTTCACGTTCCCACCTTCCGGCGCTATCTTCTCGGTTCCGATATCGTGTCACGCGTTCAGTCTTGGCCTGCGAGGATGTCAGGGCGACTAGCGGAATCGAAAAAATCTCCGGAAGCCGAGAGCATAAACTCACAGTGAGGAAGACCCTTCATCCACCTGCTGATCTTCCTCCTGCGTTAGAGCAGTTCGTATTTTGCGCTCTATAGTGTGTTTCGGATTCAGTATGGGGAATAGGCTCGGGTAAACACAAAGTTCTCAAAATCGACTTTTTGCCTAGACACTGCCTTTGAATTTTGACAGATTCGGACTTTTAAACGCTTATAGCTTATTACAGAGATTCGCAAAAAGACAGATTTGGAATCAGCTTTTAAAGACGCGTGTGATATACATCTCGTCTTCAATCGCCAACCTATATTGGTTTAATTTCCTTACAAGTACATGCATGGTCTCTCACCTATCTCATTTAGAAGTTCTTGGTAGTCGGGCAGAGCTGGCGTGGATGGAACTGATGATTGCAAGCTGAATTGAAGCACTGTACTATGTTACCACTGATGCGCTTTTGAATATGGGAGTAAATACAAAGTGAAAGTACAGGGTTGGGGGAAAGTCTCTGAACACGGTATTTTTAACGTAATGGTTAAGCTAGGCAAGATGATTACTTGAAATCAATAGGTAATGTTTACTTAACTGTCTGCTGCACAAAACTGGCTTTGCAATTCAAAAATTCTTTTTCTGACGCGAGCACAAGCTCGGAAGTATTCGGGAACGCTGTTCCATGGTGGCACGGACATGCTTCACGTCGATCTCTTCCAGCGCCTTCTGAAGAGCAAGTCGCAGAGACTCTAGGGCATGTACTCAAGAGTAAGCAAAGACATATAATTGGCATACAAAAATTTGTGGAAAAGCCGAACTAACGAGGACATCAAAAATTATTCAAAGACTTTCCCTCAACCGTTTTGTACAAGTGTATATAGTTGAACCTGTTGACTTTGTGTATTAGGTTGCTGCATAAGTTCTGTCCGAAATTTTTTGCCTTATGTTTGAAGCAACTGCTCTAAGAGGATCTCATCTCTGATGCGATATTGTTAGTGTCATTAAAAAGTGCTTTTCTTGCGCATTCTAAAGCATATTAATTTTCAATAAATTTCTTAGTGTAAGGAGATTTCAGGCCTAAAATCTCCAAGTGGTCGAGGTACGTTCTCACCCTAGAAATATGTTCTTGCGAGGAAATCTCCATAATGCGCCCTATAGCTCAAGTTTTTTTAATCGGTTCCGGAATAAGGGTGTAACAGGCTAGCATACGCATAAGTTCAGTTTCATGAAGAAAACATCTTGCTAGTAAAATTTATTGTCAAACATTAATTTTCTGTACAGATGTTTTACAAGCAATAACTTTCTGTGAATAGAAGTAATCGACGACTTCAAAGTTGGAGGCGCTAGCGTAAAGCAAGGGCTAGCAGAAACCATCTACCAATTTCTTTTCGGCGCCCACGTTAATTGTAAAATTTTCATAACTCGTAAATAGGCATGCACACATGCACTGAAGCGAGGTCAAAAAGTGGCTTCTTTTTTGCTCGGTCAAAAAAATCTCTCGGCAACGCATACCCTATGGGCTCTTTTATGTCCCAAAATAATCTGCGAAAAATTTTCTATCTATCCATTGTTGGACAAGATGCTATCAGTTCTCATAAGGGAGCACTGCCATGTCAAAAAAGACAGGTTTGAAGAAAAACGCTGTGAAGTTTTTGAGTTCTTTCTTCTTGCTTTACAAGGATTTTCGCAGGTTTTAACATGTTTCTGATAGCCAAGGAATTACCCAACACACAGAAACTAAAATCTTGGAAAAATGTTGACTTTGAAGAGAGTTATGACATTTTGAACTCAAAAATTTCAAATCGGACAGAACTTATGCAGCAACCTAATAATTGTGGAAGCTGTCAAATGAATTCTCGCTGCGAAAAAACTCGACATTTTGGATGTCTAAACTTTCTAGGTCATTTTCTAGCCATGAAATCATAGGCATATATAAACGAAGGCATTGCTGATGTGATTTTGTGGCTGATCGTATTTGTAAGTTCTCAAATGTCACACAACGCAGCATCTCTATAACCATGCAAAGCGCTGACGTGCACAACTGAAAGTGGCGGCTCTAATAACCGCCTTCTTTTCCGTCTTAAAACTTTATGTGTCATCTTGAAGAAATTAATGGGAAGAAAAGCGTTTCAAAATGGCTTTTTTCCTGTAGCAGAAGTAGGTCTGATCTCATTATCAACTATTGATATGTGATGGATGTGGCGGAAACCTTTAAGAAATTTCACGCAAAAGTCCCTGTTTTGGCTAATCATTCTTACGAGCCAATTTTGATAGGTAAGAATGATGATAGTGATAGTTGCTCATAATCTAGATCGCATGCAAATTGGATCCGGATTGCACCCGAATCTGCACACTGCGCCCGCATTGCATCAAAACCTGGTCCAGATCGTATTCAAAGTGCGGATCGCTAGGTTTTGCTCGGGACTTGACTGTGTTACTGGAAGCGCAGCGAGCGTGCAATTTGCCATGATGAAGCGGTCGCAGACGTAATGTAAACGTTCGCGACCGTAACGTTACATATGTTGTCGCATGCGACCGCTTGTGCTTGCTTTGGCCACTTCGCTCATTCCAATCAAGCACCAGTCGAATAAATATGTGATCACACAAGTTTGAGTAGTCAAGGCACAGACCATGCAAAAGATGCAAAAATTCTAGCTCACCTCGGCATTTCTTGATTATGCACTGACGTGCAGAACTGAATGTCTAAACCAGGCAGAGTATGTTGTGTCAGACAGTGCCTTCTTTTATTTGAGATTATTTCAAAACACGTTTTCCATGATGACTTTGGAGGTGCTGGCATTTGTTTGTTGTGTAACAACAGCATGTTTTCAAGTTCTGTGGAGCAGTTGACGTTCCAGAACAACTTTCAAATACGAGAAAAAACGGGTCCACTATGTTTCTAAGAATAGACGAGAATAATTCACAGACTTTTTAACTTGTTTGCATGAGTTTTGAAAATGTGCAAGTGACTTGTTCATATTTTTATGATTAGATGATGTTTGAGAATTCAAGTTAACCTTGTGGTTGACGCACGTACAATGCGTTTGACAGGGCCAGCGCCGCGTAGTGCAGTGACACATCTGCACGAGCGCCACCGTGGCAGGGAGGGACCAGGCAGGGACCATGCCAGGCAGAGACCATGCCGCGCAAAGCGGCATGGTCCTTGTTTAGCTACTCTTCCTTCTTCTTCCTTGGAATTTTTACTGTTTTGCGTCCCATTTCTGAGCGTTTCTCGTCTAATCTACGTCGGTGCTTTTCCTGTGATCTCTCAAAGAATCACCGAATTGGAAGACAAAATGGAGGTTTGTGGTCTAAAAGAGGATGTAATTTTAATCATTTCATTTGAGAATTCTGAGAACGGCTGGTGCTCTTCCTCTTTAAAGCTAAAGGTAAATACGTGAGGTGTAATCGTATATCGTATAGGTTGAAAGAACACTCTAAGTGAACACCACCAACGCGCTGTTTACTCAAATCTAGACGATAACAATTATGTTCGCTGAAACAAACTCGATATAATGAATTATGACATCCGGATTCAGCCATCCGAAGAAGGTCTGGATGAAATGAAAGATGTCATGAAAAAAAATGCTCAAAGATTTGTTACATCCTTCCTCTGCTGCGAAAAAAATTCATATCCGGTAACAAGACAGATCGCATATGAGCATAGAAGCAAGAAGGATGGCAATCCGCTGCTACAAAAACGGAAAAATTACGAGATATAGTGACAAAAACAAGGCTCTCGATGTTGTGCGCAACATGGTCCCTGCACGCTGCTCCTACGGCGCTCGCGCGTAGATATGTGACTGCACCATGCGGCGCTGGCCTCGTCAAATGCATTATACCTTTACTTGTAAAAAAAATTTTTCGTCGTGTTCCTTCCGAACGGATCGGGGACCGCCATCATTGGGCAAACGAACTTTTGAAAGCATCGTTTTCGCTCGAGCGTAGTAAATGAAAAGGGTGCTTGCACTTTTGAAAAAATTCGATCACAGTTGGTAGCTTTGTTGATTTTAAGATCTACAACTACGACGATGACCCTGCTACACAAACCAAGGCTTAGAATTCCTTGTCGTATTATCTATTCTTATGCAATCAACAAGGTCCTAGACGATCTTGCTGCGAATTAAACCTATAGACCCTATCAAACTTCAGTCACTGCAAATCATGTTGCTTACTCGCAAATTCGCGCGAAAAACCAAAAATGAAGAGGCCAATTCAACAGCCAACGTCACGCGAGAGGTTGTACAGGATGCTTCAAAAGTCTGGGAGCTTAAAATTTTTTTCGATAAAGTAGGGAAGGACCTAGACATAAGATTGGCCCATACATGATTCAAAGTATAGGAACTTCAGCCTTTTTCTCAAATTTTGAAAAAGCCTCTTTTGGCTTTGGCGCAAGCTTTCAGAATCTTGACTCGTAAAAAATTTCATTTTAATCCTTCACAACAACTGCTTCTTTCATTTAGAAACTACGCAGCATGATAGAGCAAACTTTTATCTACAATATCCTTTGGAGAAAATTTTCTGCAAAGTTCGGTGATAAAAATATTGCAATATTGCAATTTCAATTGAAGGCATGCATATGTGCATACCGAAAATTTGAATACGACTGCTTGAAAAGAAAACGGAAAACCAAGATCTAAGAAGCATAGAAAAATTCATCAATCTTCGACAGAGGTCTACTGGCACGCCTGCAACATTCACAGATTCTTATTTTTCTCTTACGAAAAAACAGCTAGTGGCGACCACAACTGGTAATATGTAATAGCGCGAAGCCTCTACATTGTAGGCGATGTACTGTTGTGAAATATTTTCGTTCTTCCAGTTATGGAATAAATTGTAAACATTAAAATTTTTGAGTTTTGCTTTGCAAAGATACTAGTCGGATGTAATGTTTAATAACAAGAACACATGGTAATCCTCTTTTGAGCTCAAAAAGGTATGTTTAGTAGAGAATGGTTACAGCATCATGTGGCATAAACTTGGGATCAAACTCATCAGTAGCTTTGTAAGTTAGAGTAATAAAAAGGAGGCTCCCAGACTTTTGACGCAGCTTGTAGAATTGAATTTGCCGGCCCTCGATTTACGCGTGCTTCTACTTTCCTTGAGTTTCGTCGTTGATGTCGCTGCTCAATGTTTTTTCTTCACTTTTTGCCACTTTATCGAATGGCAGTTTGTATTAACCGTTGAAATGTGAAAAAATAACTTGACTGCGTTTAGATATTAATTTCTTGGTCGACATGGATTGGCCCATACTAAGTTCATAGTGTGAAATGCGCTATCAGACATATAGGGACGAGTGTCAACATTCGTGGGCCTTAAGCAACGTGCTGGTCAAATTTTCACATTTGATCCGCACTAAGTACCAATTTTAGAACTTCACAGTCTCCGAGCCCTAGTTCGCAACAGGAGTGTAGATGAATACGTGA